GTCGTTACTGATAAATTTCAGATAATTATGGTTATGGTTCTTCCTTTGGAAGCGGTGGTGGCTTCGTGCCAGGAGAGACCAACAGCCCCGCTGGTGGAAAGGTATGGATGAGCTCCAAATCACAGATGTCTTGAGATACCCCTTCTGTTATTCTAAGCTTTCGGCCGGCTCACACTAACTCTAATATCGCAAACAGAGCGCGGACGGCAACAATACTACACTCCGCCCCATCACAATCAAACAAGCCCTTGATGCGACACAGCCCTATCCCGAAGCCGATTATCAGATTGACGGCGCAGATGTAGGCAGCATTTGCTTTGTCGGACAAGTTCGCAACATCAGCACCCAAAGTACAAACATCACATACAAAATAGACGACGGGACGGGGGAAATCGAAGTGAAACAATGGGTTGACTCGGCCACGGCGGATACCATGGACACAGATGATGGCAAAGCAGGAGCAGGAAAGAGCCAGGTCGTGAACAACGGATATGCCAAGATATTCGGGAAAATAAAGACGTTCGGGAATAAGCGATTTGTAGGATCACATTGCGTGCGGCCCTTGACGGATATCAATGAGCTCCATTGCCACATGCTTGAGGCTGTTGCAGTGCATCTTTTCTTTACCCGTGGTCCTGTTGGTGGCTCCGGCGGCAGCGGCGCCGCTGCAGGTGGAGCGGGGGGTGCTGATGCCACTATGGGGGGTGTTGATGATTACAGCGCCGGCAGAGGCCTTCCTGCCATGAGCCCCGTGGCAAGGAGGGTGTACAATTTGTTGAAGACGGAACCTCAGAGCAATGAGGGTCTACATGCTCAGCTCATTGCGGCTAAGCTGAGTTTGCCCATGCCGGACGTCGCCCGCGCTGGTGATGAGCTGCTTACTGCTGGTGTGATTTTCTCGACTGTTGATGAGCAAACCTGGGCTATATTGGATTATTAGATTTATGGTGTCTTTCTATCTTTACTACCTACTTACTCACGTCTATGCATATGTCTGGAAACCAAAAGGCGTCAAATTCATGTGTTCGTTGCCCCGATAGCCTACTTTACGTTTCATAATCCTGATGATAATTGAAAGCTCGTTTCTCCTCCTACCTTCCAGTCTTTCATTGAACGCTAGCTACAGAACTAAGTGTTAGAACATGATAACAACACAGCAAAACTCTATACACTAGGTGAACGTTCAAGATACATATTAACATCCACTTTGGCTTCATTCCAGTCCACGGCCGTTATAAAAATACTCCCCAGAACCTTTTTCATCATCCCATAACACTATATAGGCAGAAAAAGTCTAACATCATCGTCGACAGACAACAACAATCGATGGATGGTATCGAAAACATAGGTTATAGCGTCATCTCATCATAATATGCGGATATCGGTCATGATTCTATGCCATTGCGTTTCTCTGAATAGCATCTTGAACCGAACGGTTCCAATCAGTTTGTATCAGGAAGATCAGCTCGATCACTGATACCAAGAGAAGGGCAAGAGCAACACCGGACCAGAGTCCCAGTAAACCCCAACCCAGTCCAAATGTGGTCCCGAAGCTAATGGGCATTGCAACTGCATAGTAGCAAAAGAGCTGGACATAACCGCCTATCTCTTGTCTGCCAATCCCACGAAGAATACCGTTGCAGTTAGCTGCGAGGGCGTCAAATAACTGGAACGCTGCACACAATGGAAGGACCTGTGCTACGAGCTCGATCACTTCTTCTTCTGGGGTAAATAGTCGTGGGATGTATGAGCGCAGGGAGGAGAGCAGTAGCATGTTGAGCACCCCTACGATGACGGAATATCCCATTGTCACTTTTGCTGAAATCTTGGCGGGACCAACAAGAGTTGCTCCGATCAGGTTTGCAACGCGGGTACTGCCAGAAATTGAAAGGGGAAAAGGAATTTGGAACATGATACTGGCGATGGTCGATAGAACCGACTGGGCAGCCAAGGGGGTTGTGCCGAGGTATGACGATGCTAAGGTTAGTATTTCAAAAGCGAGGCACTCAGCTTCTACCATTACCAGACCAGGTAAGGCAAGTCGGATCATTGGGCCCCAGTTGCGCAAGGCCTTGGTAGTAAACCCATTCCAACATTCCGCACCATCAATGAAATACACATAAAGGAACAAAAACAGCGGCATCAGATTGTCTGTAATAGCTACTGCGATAGGGGCGCCAACAAAGCCCCATTGGAATTTCTATCCATCTGGTTAGTCACCGTGAGTGAGATAACTGCAGCCTGTGGTGACTTACCCAAACAAACAACCAGTTCATGAAGGCGTTTAGAGGTGCGCAGATGAGTAAGACATATAGCGAAGCAGAAAAGAGTCCTTGAGCCTGCACATAACGCTTCCCGCTCTCAAAGCAAGCGTATCCAGGTGCCCCCAAGATGACAACCTTCAAGTACAAGCCAGCAAGTGCGGCGACATCTTTCTCCGGGACAATCTTCATGAGGATTCTGTCCGCAAAGAACCACAGTACAGCAATCGGGATAGAAATGGTGCAAAGGAAGAACACCATCTTTTGCATTTGCAGGCCTACCAGCTTCTTCCTTCCAGAACCATATGCCTGTGCACACAGAGTGTCTAAACTGGTTGCTAAACCTTGGTATACTGCATATCCTGTAATGTTCGCACTCATGCTAGCTAAACTCACTGCACCAAGCTCTTTCTTGCCCAGGTGGCCTAGGGTGAAAATGCTGGCTACTGTCAACGAATATTGGAGCAGGAAAGTGGCCATTAATGGAGCAGCGTTTTTACCGATCACCCGCGCCTCCCGTCTCCATGTTGTGTGAATTAACCCGGCTGCGACAGCCTCTTCCCACTTTCTGTCAACCTCTTCATCATCTGTGGCATTGTATTCGCGACCGTCTACTTGGTTTCCTAGGAGCGCCGTAGTTTCTCCTGAAGGTGCCCTGGTTGGAGTCACACGCCGCTTCGTCCTCGCCTCCATGACATTATTATCGCTGAGAAGATCCCTCTCATCCTCAATGGCGCGTTCGCGTTCCCTGCGTGTCAGCCTCTCTCGTTCTCCAGTATATGGTACAACCGTGGCATGGGAGACCGTAGTGAAGAAGCTCGGACGACGGTAGGATCCAGCTAGAGAATGGGGGTTCGTGCCGGGCTGACTGTTTATCGCGCGAATAGTAGATGTCTCAGAAGCATCGTCGTCAGTACTAATCATTGAGTCCTCGTCATCCGCATAGTTCTCTAAATCTCGAGCAATTGCGGCCTCGGCGAGAGGGGAACTAGATAGGAAGCGGCCATGTAAGGCTTGCTCCTCCACTGAACGCGGAGTGTTACCGCGGCCCATTGCGACGGTGATGTAATAATACAAAGGGTGCGCGGAGAGACGTTAAAGCTTGGTATGTGTTGAAAATTGTGTGCTTAAGGATACTTCATCATGGCCTGATGGCGCCAAATATATACAAGCTCGAGGGAGCTGTCAATGGAGAAATGCGGTGACTCAGAGAAAGAAGGAAGAGAGAAACAAAAACGGAAGCGGGGGCGGGCGATGGTGTCGGTAAGCATATTACGCTCTATCAGCAGATTTTGCCTCTAAAAGAGCTTTCAGCCATTGAATTAAAGTTGTATGGACCGTTGTATGTGTTGGATCCACTTTCTTTCGCTCCAGTCGATGCATGGGCCGTTTTTTGAGTCAGCTCGTATTGACTAACTTTTTTTTCTCAATCAATACACAGTAAGTTCTGCTGATATACACGGTTTTGATCAAGTAAAGTTAACAGATGAAGGAATTATGCCGTATCCATTGTCATGCACAAGCCATAGAAAAACGTGCAAGCAGCCCCCGCAAAGGCAAAGCGGACCCCCCACCATGAACCTTGGAGGGTGAGAAACGGTCCATAGAGAATGGTTCGCGTAGTGGAGGTGTCGATCCAAGATCTATTAGCGATGTTTCGTCTCTTTGACATCAGTCATTAGGGTGCTGCCGCGGGATCTCATTCGTTTGATCTGCGCTGGTTATGAACCAACCCAGGCCAACATCAGCCACGAAGAAAAGCGCAGGCCAATGCCAGGGAGATGCACCATGCAGGGATCAGTGACATCATTCCCGATTGAGCCTAGACATGTGAATCACGTGGGTCTGTCATCGGATCTCTGACATATGGAAACTCGACTCAAGAAACATGTCCCCCCGGCTTTGCGCTCCTTGATGAGAAGGATGCGACTTATTGTTCTTATTGTTATATCGTCGCGGTAGTGTTTCACCCATACTTTGGCTGGCATATCGACCCCCACTATGCCAGAATCTACGACAAGCCAAAATGCTGCTTCTCTTCGGCCGCGGTTTAATCCGGTGATCAACCCGGCGAACTCACGCCCCGTTCTGGTAGACGAGTAAGCGCTTCTAGTCCTTATGAACAATATTTATTTCTTGGGTTATTCAAAGCAGGATCAGGGAAAAAGAGAACACTTAGGACTGACCCCGAAAAAGACACTTAGAGGACAACCATCATATCTTCCTATCCCGACCCTGGCTGGGAGCCCTGTTATTCGAAAATGTCACCTCCGACGCCCGCGATCACTGCGCTAACGAACGAACCTTTCTGTCTTGGCTTCGTCTTTCTATGTACCTTGCGGTCGTTTCAGTAGCTATCATCATCTCGTTCCATTTTCATGGCGGGCCGACCGGACTCGAGCGACGGATGGCTCTGCCGCTGGGTATTATTTTCTGGGTCCTTAGCTTAGCCTGTTTGGTTAACGGGTTTGCAAACTATGTGCGCACCGTGCGAAAGTACAGCCGTAAAGCGGCTTTGGTACAGAGCGGATGGAAAACACAAATGACATTTACAGTGGTGGGGACCGTGATTCTAGGGAGCTGTATACTGTTCTTGGCAACGGATGCAAAAAGTAATAATTAAGAGAATTGGATTTGCTTTTTCGCTTAATGGAAAACCCCGCCTTGAGCAGGCTTTCTAAACAATGCTCTATCGTAGACCCATGTCGTGAGTAGATAGGACGCCAAATTGTAACAAGAGAGAAGGGATCTGTCACTAGCCCCCAGTAAATGAAGATAGGTACCTAGAAACATAAAATAAGTCCTGTTCATACATTAATAGTGCATTTGACTAGCCCATGCCATGGTATCATAATTCGAGGAAGCGGGCGGAAACAGCCGAAAGATACCGCTACATTGCAAGACAAACGGATAACATATCACCATTTTCCGTTGAGCAGAATCTCACATACGCCGGATTCCTTTCTCGCCCTTGTACTTCTCCAAGGTTGGAGAGCCGAGGTGGCTCCACCATTCGAACAACATCGAATTGCAGATGAGTTTGAACCAGGGTGTGAACTTCAACCCCGGCTGCTCAAACATCGTTTTCAATTCGTCGGCCGAGACATACTTCGTGTCTCGTACTTCATTCGCGCTAGGATCCAACTCTACATCGGCTTGGATGAAGAGGATATAGTCGACTTAATGATGTTAGTTTTCGACGACAGCTGGTGATGAAGTGAAGGTTAAAGGATATGAAACATACTCTCATGCTCTCCCCATTTTCCATCGCTAGGAGCCTTGTAATGTATTCTCGTGAAAAACTCGAACTTATCCAGGGGTACTTGCTCCGGCTTAATTCCAAGCTCATGTTCCAACTTCCGCTGCGCAGCCCGCTTCACGCCCAAGATAGCGGCATCCAGCTCAGAACCGGTCTCTCCAGCAATTCCAAGGGGGTGAGAGCAGCAGGTGTTTGTCCACATATCCGGGAAGGTGATCTTCTCGCTGGCGCGTTGTTGGAGGAGCAAGCGCTTGTTGGAATCGAAGAGGAACACGGAAAAGGCACGGTGGAGAAGGCCCCGGTCAATGTTGGTCATGAGGTGGCCTATTGTCACCAAGTAATTGAGCCGTCAGTAAACGGTATTGGCAAAGAGGGGAGGAGGCGAGACGCCAGCAGGAAAATTGCACTGCACCAGACGAGTACTCATGCAGAGGGCGGATCTTACAGATTTTCTTGCTGGCACTTCCGATAGGCTTGTCATCATCATCCAGAACGATGCATACTTCATCCATCAGACGGACTTGCTCCTCGTCGTAACCTGCCAGCTCGCTGCTGCTAGCGGCGGAGGGATTGCCGTCAGCTTTGGGGAGGACTTCGCGAGCCAAAGAAGTATCGACCTCTGGGAAGAGAGTAGCAACATTTTCCGCCGTAATTCTAGGGGGTTCGGTAGTTGTAGTAGTTGCGCTCATTGTGACAGTTAATGTATGACGCTCACAATCCAAAGAGGGGTATTATTGTCTGGACCTTCTGGAGCTGGAGGGGAAAGGGGAATGAAATAATCCCCGCCCTTCGGAGGCGGTGTATCACAGCAAAATTAGTGGAGGATCTGGAACACCCGCTATTGGACTCTCTACCTAGTACTAGTAGTAGCGAATCGCGATGGCTATACAGGCAATCTGAACCTACTACTACCTACTTGGAAGTTCCCTGCAAGCCTCCACGTAATGCATTGCAGAAAACATGTCATACAGAGCATAGTGTCACCCACTTTAGGCTGGCTGCTCATTTTCCATGTTCCATTTTTTTCGGTCACATCAATCATCGCTCGGCCGGAAGAAGTAGCTTGATGCAGAACATGTCGAGAACATTCGAACCTTGCTGGGCGTGCTTCCTATATGAGACAAGGCCACCGTTATGAGCGCTTCCATTTACCGGATATAGACTGCGACTATCGTAGATCTAGGATGGCTACTAGATATAGTAGCACGCATAAAGATAGAATTCAATGTAAGTGTCTCATAGTACTCATCGGTACCCTCGATATGTCTAAACGGTGCATTACTTGGGCTATATACTGTAGTGCAGCTGAAATGACACATCATTCTGTACATATGTGAGGTGGTGAGATGCCATGGATAGTGCCCCGCATATAGAAGATTATGGGACGTCAGCTGCAGCCATCTTCTCAATTTACTATACGGGTGGCTTATAGTTCCGCTGGAGTTGGTCGGCCCTAGCGGTCAATATCCAAATCCATAGAGCACTGCATGTCAAACGAAGGCTAACATATACAAGGCAGATGTTGGTCGTGCCAGTCCTAGCTAGCCTTGTGAAGCCGCGACTCCTATTAGCCAGCAGCGAATGGACGGGGCTCGGTATTTCCCTTGTCCCTCCTATCAGATAATAAACCAGCTACAGTTCTCTAACATGACCAACGGATGAAAGATAATTGCGTAAAGGGTGAACCAGTGATAAAATCCGGACATGCATGCTTTCTATCGCGGCAACAATCAGTAGCATTCACAACGAGATCTCCGATGTCCCTGAAGACGGAAATACAGAAGGGATGAAGTAGTGCAGATCGGGCCCATTCCTGATAGAGGTATGCAATGTATAGAATGAAAACAATGGAGATACCGAAGATCGACAGCACTCTCTTGGTCACATGGCGATCTGAGTTATGTCTTAGAAGCCTGGGTTCTATCACTCGTGACATTAGAGTTTGGGAATCGGCGACTCGTCAATTTTGTAACGATATACTTTTGGAGTCCCTCGCATACTTTGGCTATAGTGTACTTCTCAGTCAGTTGACACTCAGCTGTACAGGGATACTGCCTGCGTACTTATTGCTGTAGCAGACCAGCAAAGGCCGGGAGGATGTGAAATTCTTCTTAATGTGTGAAATTGGCCGTCCCTGATATATGCTAGTGCTTAATAGTTAGTGTTATGCTTATGTTGGTTCGAAAATGGCCCAAAGTCTCCAGGCTGCCTGTGCATTCCAGAAGTACCTTGACTGGGATTAGTGTACACTCCCTCGGCAGCCCCAGCTGAACTGAGACAGATTCGCACACTGAACTGTAACCCTTGTTGTAGAGCCTCTGTAAGCATAATTCCACATGACCTGTGGTGGCAATAAAAGCAAGGATTGTTAAACAAACCACAACGCATAGAATATGGATGGATTCGATCTTGGCATATCGTGCCTTGTTTGGTCTAGCGTGTACATCGCCCGAGGGGGAGATAAGGCTGGAGATACCGAGTATGCACATATGTACACATGTCCCTCTAGCCAGAACCTCACATGATAGCCTACAAGGATGCTAACCAGATCAACCCATGTTGATCTAGAATAATAAGTAGACCCCGATTACAATCCCAGAAACTTCCCGTTTCTGGAGTTATATTGCGAGTCGAGATGACTCACCATGAGGATGATACTAAGTTATTACTAGGTAAAGAAACAGAAATACAGTAGGTACCTGCCCTTATCAAGTAATCGGAGTTGCTCCAGAGTCTCTTCACGCAGAATTCAGTTATTCTTTGTTTAATGTTAGCTTTGGACTGAATACAAACAAAACAAAACGTCGAGATTAAATTGAGCCAGATGGTTGATTTATCAGGTTGAGGACATAATGACTAAGTGTCCGGTATCCCAGCCTCCAAGCACGGGATGACAAATTCTTTCCTCGGCCCCCGGGCCTCTTTTACTATTTCCTATTCAAGAAGTCTGTAGTTATACTAGTAGTAGCCTAGGTATGTCTACTAGTACTATTGACTACCTCAAGCTAAGTAGTAACTATGTTTGGTTCAATCTTAAGTCCATAGCCAATTCAGGTAATGATCTAGTCCACACGTTTCTTACAACCCAGTTAATGGCATAATGGAACTTATAGGAAACCTGGCCCTGGCTCCCAAAATTTCCGAGGCAGGTTAGACGCTATAGCCGTAGCCACTTAACGGCGTTGCTTGGAGACGCGCTTGTTTGAAACTAAAAGATTTAGGGCTGTTCTTCCAGAAATTAATCCGCCCGTAACCGTTCCAGACACCTGCTCTACTTTTAAGGCGCATTGTCGGCTCCGAGCTTCAAACGGCCAGACTCGCTTAGCGAGAAATGGCCAGAACAGCGCAGATTGACTCGCCACAAGCTTGATCTCATCATAAGGCTCTGCTATTGTGATAGTAGCAATCATGACAAGCATATATCGACATATATATAAAAATGACGGATTCAGATTCCTCGGGTTCTCCGGCACGGACGGAGCTGTGAGTTTTACTCCGCGCGGCGTACTCCGTACATTGTCTCTCTTCGGCCGCCTTATATTTCGTGCGACGTAGTAGTGAGCACTGAGCAGTTTGGTGAATCCTTTAGTGATCGCCCGGGTCGCGTACGGGGAAGCTTCCGTGGTAAGATACTAGGTCTCATTAGCTTGACCATCGCATGAACTCGACAAATGAGCTTTCAGAGAAGGTGACCAATAACGCTATTTGAGTTTCGCGACTACCTGCCTAGTGTTGTCGTTGGCGTCTATATGGTTCCGGAGCCGTCGGCTCGTGCACAGAACAGCTTAGCCGACGTGAGTATCCCGTTGAATCCTAGTTTTTCCGGTTAGTGAAACAGGGACGAAAATCCAAAAAGAAAAAGTAGTCAAATTCATAATTAAGAAGGCTTTGGAGTATTAGGTCGTTCATATCCATGTGTTCAGGCATGAGCCAGCCATGCGATGATACTCATTTCTAACGCTCCCAGATGCTGTACTGGTTCTAATGACAACAAAGGGGGGAAGAAAAAAAAAAAAGAAAAAAAAGGAAGGAAAAAGACAAAGTAATGACAATTCCAAACTCGAGCAACATTATCCAGAATACTTTATGCAAAAGAATTTCATCAAACAATGCAGATAGCCACCTCATCCACAAGAGCATTCATTATGTCCCAGACAAATGTACATCATTCATTACTGAACTGAGAAGTCATGCGTATAACAGTAACTACCATATCCGCGATCAACGCAGTAATGGCTCACCATGTATCTTGATTGTTCTCGATCACTGTGCCAGACATACAGCTATTGTTTCGGTAAGGATTGCTGTCGTTTGTTTCTGCCGTGGGGATCTTTGGGAGGGAGTCCAGAGAGGTGCTGAGACGCTTCGACCTTTCTGGAGACATCCGTGCCTCGTGGTCTTCGGGGGCAACCGTCTGCCTTGTGTCTATCATATCAAACTGTATTAGCTTGTATACACATATACACTACGGTAGATTTGCTTGTTTACCTCGAGAGTGTATCCCGTCGACCGAACCGTTGGCCACAATCCTCACAACCAAATTTTCGGATTCCATGATGGATCTGCGTTTTTATCAGTTATGTATTTATGAGGAAACCGCGATTCAACTCACACTATCTACATGTCGCCGAAGGTCAGTCTTTCTTCCGAATGGCTTTTCGCAGAACTCGCAGTGGTACGACTTTCTGAGGCTTGGGTCATGTCTCTTCACATGTTCGCGACAGTTAGAACGTCGAGTGAACCGGGTACCGCAGATGGTGCATTCAAGACCACTTGCAGATAGTATCTTGCACCGCTCATCGGGGAGTTCGCTATCGTTTTTCGTCAATTGAAAGACTACTTCAACGGGCATTTTTCGTGCTGTAGGCTTTCGGCCCTCATCCCTCTGACGACCCAGATCTGGGTTTAATTCGACAAAAGTATCATTACCGTTATCGGCAAAGTGTTGAGATTTTGAATAAGCATCATTGCTCACTGTGTGAGGCATTTGTGAAACCGAGCCAATTACCGTAGTATCACTGACCTCTGTCAAAAGGTTTTGCTCCCAACTGTCGTCAGGTTCTTCCTTAACTTGTGGCTGGATCTCGGAGCTAGCTGCGTCGGATTGGGGGGTATTCGGCCAAAAGTGAGAGGAGGGGGCACTCAAAGTGCCAGAATTTCTGGCGAAATCCATAGCAGAGCCATAGCTAGATGGGGCGTTCAGAGTTTGCGGGCTGTAATAGGTAAGGGGCGAGACAGAAACATCAGAGTGAGCACCAAATGGCTCGTAGCATGGTCCTGGAGAGAAATGACCGACGTCCAGCGTCGTCTCGAGAAGGGATTCGGGAGGGATCATCTGATTCGGCCATTCGGTTACCGGCGATGGGTATGTGTCGGGTGGAAACAGCCTTAGCTGACTGGATGGGTCTTCCATCTCACAATGGGAGATTCCCAAGCCAGTAGTCGACTGCGAGTTGCTTGGATAGCTCGAAACAGAGCACATAGGCGATGAATAAGCGGAAGTATCTTCCAGCATTATGTGATTTTCCGGTGGCGATCGAACGAAGGGCGAGGGCGAAGAAAACGATGTAGGAGCCTGCTCCATTCTCAAGATCCACAACTGTGTTTAATCAAGAAGAACAACAACAACAACAAAGAGAGTAGAGTAATACAGGGAAGAATGAAGCGAATGTTGGAGGTAGTGGCGCCAAAACACAATTGTGCTATCCTCACGCTCGTTAGACTTCTAGCTAACAAGTGGGTAGCTCGCGGGTTCGAAGGCTCTATATTTGATTCGAAACACGAAAGAAGGGAGGGGGATAAAATTCATCTATATAAGTATTGGTGACTCAGTAGCATTTCTACTGATAGGTGAGGTCAGGAACAGGCATAGACTGTGGCTGATGGCGATCTCGATCAACTGAGCCATATGATAATTGGAGGGGAGTGTCCGCCGCAATGACACGATGAAGGGCCGTCAAGCAGTGACCTTGACGCCTGGTCAGCCAAGGCAGATTCGACGGACTGGATGTGCATGGATGCGGTGAATAAGAGCCACAGAAGAAGGGAAGAAGGGTGTAGGGGTGTGGGAAGTCTAGCTGTGGGAAAGGGCCGGACCGGGTTGTCTGCAGCCCATGTCTGCAACATTGAGATAGGCGCGATAATCCCAAGTCATGCACAATTCCTTAGCGCCGAAAAAGTGTGATCAGGCCAAAGTATCAGTCATTGCCGTAGGGTTGGGCAAGACAGTGTTAGGCATTGTTTTTGATTAACAATTGGAGGAGCCGCCATTGTGGCCAGGGTTAGTGGGTTTGCCCGAGTAGGCTCCAGGCAAAATTGGAAGGGAAATAGAGGAGAAAAAAAAAGAAAAAGTAGCTAGCGGGGAGTGGGAGACAGGGGTGTAGAGTAGTGTCGTGTCATGTAGGATAGCAACGAGAGAAGGCTCGTCTCGATGGGGATGTTTGTGAGTGGGTGGGTTCTGTTCGTTTAGATCGAAAGCAAGAAAAAGACCGCATCAGTTCATGACAACCAGCGCTGAGAAACGAAGGCACCACCACTACCACAGTAGCATGTATGTATGAGTACTAATGGAACGTATGGCACGTATGGGACCGCTGAACACTCTCTGATCACCGCTGGCCAGTCAAACACCAGCGCACACTTCACCCACTGCTCTTTCATCAAAGAGGTTTAGTGACGACCCGACAGTCTGGTAACCTTGCTTGGCAAAATAGCAGTGCGTGTCTCCCAGTCTGATTGGTAAACACAGCCGCATAATCCGAGGAAAAAGGGGAGAGAGGGGTAGGAGACTAACTCAGTCTGTTATGGAGGATGGAAATGAAATGGTGAGAATGATGGAGCCTCCTGTTTAGGCAAGAGGGGCTCTCCGTCCACCCGACCCTTGATGGGGCCAGCAAATCATCATATCTCTGCAGGCTCGTCTTGGTTTTCATCATGAATCAGTTGTTCTTCTATGTAGGTGTCCACGGGTCCTCGGCTATCGTCCTGTTCTGTTTGGTGTATTTTTTTTTTTTTTTTTTTAATAGAAAAAAGAGATCATTCATGTTTTTGTTTACTTTTCTCTGAAATTTGTCATTTTCTGTTGACGATCAGCATGAAACCCTTTTGATCCGTGAGTAGGGAGGTCCATGTTAGATGCCACTAACCTTTTCCTGTCACAAGTTTCATCCGGTCATGCAAATAATATGGACGTTGTTGAAGATCATACGAGCTGAGACAAAATCAATACCATCCATCCCAATAGTACATCATTAGAAAAAGTAGGTTGCCAATTATTCCATACGCCACCCCTCCAAAATCATTAAAAACTGGATGAAATAGTAACCAATGATCAAAATAAAATAGAAATTTGGAAGATAAAAATATGAAAATAAGAAAATAAAAATTGAAAACACATAACATAGATGATTGCTCAATAACAATCTACTCTGAATTATTCCCGATTTGGAACTGGTAAAGTGACCGGTCTTCGCGCTAACCTTTTAGGCGAGCAGCAGTGCGTGTGTATATGGCAGTGGTCCGTCGCCTTGCCTTGTATGTAGTCCACATTTAGCCCCAGTCTTTCTCCCCTAACGTTCATTATTGAACTCGGTGGTGAAGGGTGACTGTGGCTGCCACTCGCTCCACTTGAGTGCGCAACCGTTCCACCTCGTCGATCATATCTGCGAGGTCAACACTTTCGGCCGGGCCCGCGTTTCGTCCACGCACCCCAATATACTGCTCTGGGTTAGGTTGTTTTCTGGCCCTACCGGAACTTAAAGAACGAGCATCAGCTGTGGAGAAAGCTAAGCCCGTCTGAATCGATGACACGGGGCGACCGCTTCCCCGTGCTGTGGCTGTCGGGGGCCATTGACTACTAGTATTTCGCCGCGAAACATAGCGGCGACTAGATTCATAGGCCCAGATGAGTGCAACAAAGGGAAGGTGTGTTGCTCTGAGCAAAACGATGCGCACCCGGCGGATATGCTCCGCAGGCAGAAAGAGCCTCAACGGGCGGATACAAAGCAGAGGGATGAGGTTCTGTGTATCAAGGTTCCGTGGTTAGCGGCATGGATGAACCACAACACCCTTGCAGTTACTAACCAATGGTGGCATGAAATAGGTTAGTCTTCGGGAATTACTGCTTTCCAACACGTAAATAGATAATCTGGTCCTCCACATCAGCGGAGCTCAATAGCGAGAAAATAGAGACCAGTAAAACTAACTGAAAAAGATATTCTTCGCGAGCGTGAGCCATAACCTACATTAGATGGAATGTCGGGTAGACAAATTAGCATTCTTGGGCGAATCAGGTTGGGATGCCCCACACTAGATCATGGGTTGAACATACCCCTTCCAGACTCATGCTCATGAGACTGACCAAAGAAGAGATCAGTAAAAGGTTCGTCATCGAGACAAAAATTAGCCTGTGAATTGCACATATCAGCTTGCATGTTCTTCTTCTGATGTAACCAGACTTTTCATGCCAAGTATCGTGGGGTTATCGGCGTACGGCCCAAAGCGGCAGGTACAATAATACGCAAGGCTGAAAAAAACAAAAAAAGAAGAAAAGAAAAGGGAAATTAATGGAACATGGGAGGAAAGATAGTGGAAAGATGGCGGCACTGAATTAGATAGCGCCATACTATCTCGAAAGTCTCTCCAAATGTCGAACGTGATCGAAAGAGTATGCGGCCAAGGTCACGAAAGGTACATGTGGCGCAGTATATTTCGTACTGAAGGGGAAACTCACATCAAACCGTAGCCGAAGATCGGGGAAATCTAAGAATTAGCGCATCAGTCAACTTAACGCCATGGCCAACCGATTTTTCAAACCCCCTTGCAATTTTGATTTGGGCTGCATGACAGCTGCTTAGCGCATTGTACTTACTTCGTGAGCGATGTCCTAATATCCAATCATTTCAGCCACCATTAGTATGAAGAACACTTCTACGCCAACGGAATACAACGCACAAAGCCTAAGACGTTCGATCTGCCTCGCGTTGTTAGTAGGAGCAGTTCAACAACAGGGGTCTCACCGCAATACCCAAAGAAAACTTTCACCAAAATCCATGACATTTGCCTGAGAGAAAGTCGGTCACGGGCAAGCATGGTGAACGTCGTCAAGAACCCTGCAGCGCCACAATGTCATCATATGAGACTACGAGTACCTTCCTCTGGCGTGCCTCAGCGCCACATACCAATGTATAGGACAACTACAACGGGCATAAACCGGAAAAACGACTTTGTCTAGACCCGAGCGATCAGTCTTATCAGCTTCTTCGTCATCACACTAGCCCCGGGCGTAGTACCATCTCCTTCAAAACAGGTATCTATGCACGATACTTGTCAGCCCATTCAATGGTATGCGTTTATTTAATGCAGGGTCGGCGGGTCCGACGTACAAGACTCCCAAAATAGGAATTGAGGCTGACAAGTGAGCATATCCTGTTTGCCACCGTCAGATCGTAAACGTGGACTTGAAACTTAGTAACAGCAAGTGAAACTTGCCTTGGAACTAGGAATAATGCCTCTAATGAAAGTATATCAAATGACAAGTCTGTAATGTACTCGCTATCTTCGGCCAACCCGATGATCCCTAGACAATTTTCGGCTTTAGCACATAGAACGGGGCAAAACTAGGGTTCGCTCACCCCGATGGCACAGGATCCTAGTCCAGCTGAAAGAGCTGAACTAATGGTAAGGCAGATTCACAGGAGATAATGACTCACTTGAAACAACAAAGGCAAGCCCGGTGCCTATGATTCCCATATTCCATAGCTTCCAGAAGTCCATCTGATAGAAAAGCATCCCCGCATCTGCCATTCCGCTTACTTCATCATAAGCGAAGGCAGCGATCCAGAAATACATCAGCGTTTCGAAGATTCCTATACCCGTCGACTTTCGTTCAACTAGGACCGCATAGTATAAGAATAAGAAAGAGACAAAGAAAGCCGCTTCAAACGCTTTGCGATATACTGGAACCCGTAACCGAGAATAAGGATCCGCTGTCCTGTAACACAACTGCACTTCAGCAATCGGTAGGAGCTTGGGAAGCAGTGGTCATATTACCTTTTATTGAAGAAGTGTGGCCTCTTTGTCGAGTGCACACTCAAGGTATCCCAGAAAACAATTTCTCCCTTCCAGATATGGTCAATGACTCTCTGTACCACTTTTTGGCTGAGAAATTTCTTTGCGTGGGCAATAGTTGCAATCTCTAGAGCATTTAGCCCAAAAAAAAGGGAGAACTTCTCCAGTTCATACGCATCATGTGTAAAATCGTGGGATCCTCGATTATCATCCTCAAGTGAGCTACCTAGACGCCTCGTGCCGCCAAAGAAACGATACAAAGATGAGGACGAGCTCAGCAACAAGGGTGCTCTCTCATCCTCTTCTAATGTCCTGTGATTAGTAGTAGCGGCAGAGGCATACCCGGAAGCACCCATTTCCGCTTGAGGAAGGTTGATAGCCTTCTGTGTGGGCCATGTGAGTTCCTCAAGCAGGTATTCAAGAGTTTCCCGCTGATTAAGATGACAGACAATCTGCCAGGCGACATATTCACAAGCGTATCCTCGACTTTCACTTACGCCCCAATCATAGTCAGCAGCATTATCAAATTGCCACTTCAGGATCCTAAGACAAGTCAGTTCAAACTCCTCTGATAAGGAAAAGGCGTAAATATATCAGACTAAACTTACATTAATGCAGGAATTATATATGTGTTATGTGAGCTTTCCACTAAAGAATGGATTAGCAACCTGAGACTATAGCCGTGAGAAGTAGACCCGATCTGTTCAAATGTATATGAGATATCAGATATAGTCAACGTCAAATAACTAGACAAGAGCATGTCAGGGCCATTTTCCAAGCAATATAGTGAGAGCGAAAAATACTTATATAGCTTTCGGACTACGTCAACTAACGGTTCGTCATTGTCAATAATCGGAACGTCGGGATGATCATTTCCTTGGGGCCCTATTGACGACGTAGAACAATCCTGATTAATTGAAGGCATAGTGGTCATCGGCTATCCAGAAGTCGCCCTCAGATCGATGGCAAGGTCGGTCAGCCGTAGTGTCGGCTTTACGATCGAGAACCCTGGTAATAATTAGCAAATTCATCACTGGAGACATAGTCGTGGTCGTGACTGGACGTGGCGCTTCTTGACCGATTCTGTACCGTACCTTCGATAAAGTGGACGATGGCCTTGGCGTAAATTGACGACGAAGTTCTTTACGGGGTAAACTAAATAGCCTGAGCCCAAGAAGTCCTTTGACACAATCTTCACACACACATAACTCGGGATAAACACCTTGCAGGTATCATAGGTCACCGAGGGGCACGAAAGGTGGAGTTTTACAGAGCAGGATAAACGGTGAAGTAATATAACTCCATAATGGTTTGACGGCTATCAGTAAGACGGGACCAGCTGTACTAAATCATGTCGTCTGATTGGATAAGGTAGTATTCTTGAGCCTGATAGTTAAACAAGCTTTCTTCTTTGTACGGTACACCATTGCGTCTATCGGGCACAATCTGTACCTCACCTATCTCCTGAAGAATTGACGGCTGTTCACATACAATTCTACGGAGCTTTACCAGGTGAAAAGGTTAACTCATGAGTCAGTTTTTTTTCTTTTTTATTTTTTATTATTACTCATCCTTTAGCAATAAGTAAACACATCTTATCGAACGCTGTGTATCTGCAAGGCATCTCTTAAATCATTCTTTCCCTTATCCAATTTATTTTCATCTTTATTTTTGCCTAAACGCGCTTCTTGTTCCATAAAGATTATCATCAGGACCGCGTAGAGTCCCTCGTGTCAATACGGAGTACGTACGGTTTACGGAGCACATTACACCGCCCGTATCATGTGACATGTACATCACCCAACGACGACACCTTTCAACGCGTCAACTTCACCTTTGCAAGGTATGACTACCAACTACTCGTTTTTCTGTCAAAGCGGAATCGTAGATTTGCTCTGTATATTACACAGACGCTTCCCTTATCTTTGCGTTGATGAGCTACATTGTTTTCAAAGGCCCCTGAGATGAAGGAACCTCAACATGGGCCAAGGTTATTCACTTACAACCCTTTCAGCGGGTTCGGCCGGGATTGATATCCCCGAGCTGTCCGACTTAACATATGAGAAGTCGATGGGTGGTGGGAGATTTATGAAGAGCATCCGGGCAAGGCAGCAAAATGGCCTCGTTTTTGTTAAGGTAATAATGAAGCCTTTTCCTAGCATGGAGCTAGAGCCATATGTCAAAGCTATAATTCGTACGTTTTTGTTTATATGCCGTGTGCCAACATGCGCCCAAGGCGCTCTAACTTATCAGGGTAGGGGAGCGCAAGCTGCTTTCGGATGTTCCCAATGCCTTAGGTTATCAACGAATCCTTGAAACTGGTACTGGCGGTTACTTAGTCCGTCAATACATCCACAGCTCGCTTTATGACCGGATGAGGTATGTGCTGAACCTCCAGCCCATGGACTTTCTCTAACCGGCGTAGTACGCGGCCTTTCCCAGAGGATATTGAGAAGAAATGGATTGCATTCCAGCTTTTGTGCGCATTGCGAGATTGCCATGCGCTCGATGTCTTCCATGGTGACATCAAAACGGAGAATGTCTTGGTCACATCATGGAATTGGCTCTATTTGTCAGATTTCTCGTCATCTTTCAAATTAACATTCCTTCCGGAAGACAATCCTGCAGACTTTCACTTCTACTTCGACACCTCAGGGCGACGAACCTGCTACTTGGCACCTGAAAGATTTTTAGAAGCTAGTGAGAAACGAGAATCTGAGCAAGTTAACTGGGCCATGGATATTTTCAGTGCCGGTTGTGTAATTGCAGAATTGTTTTTAGAGTCGCCCATATTTACCTTGAGCCAAATGTACAAATATCGAAAAGGTGAATACAGTCCGGAACATGGCCAGCTGGCCAAGATCGAGGATCCGGAAATTCGAGCATTGATTCTTCACATGATTCAGATCGACCCAGAATCAAGATATTCTGCAGAAGAATACCTGAACTTTTGGAAAAACAAAGCCTTCCCGGAGTACTTTTATAGTTTCCTCCATCAATATATGTCTCTCATGACAGACCCCTCCTCGGGTAGAACACAGGTTGAAGCTGAATCTGCCAACAGAGGAGAGGCCGATGACAGAATAGACAGGGTCTACCTTGACTTCGATAAGATTTCTTATTTCCTCGGTGCATCAACCAAGAATTTGAAGGATGGCTCTAGTCGCACTTCCTTGAGGCTTACTGGCAATACTTTCCCTGTCCAGCTTGATTTGCCCCAGTATGGCCATCCAGGGTCCAAATCTCAGTCACAGACAGACGATGGTGTTCTCATTTTTTTAACACTCATTGTATCTAGTTTACGCAACACATCGAAAGCGTCTTCCCGAGTCAAGGCCTGCGATATCCTTCTTGCCTTTGCTGAGAGATTGTCCGATGAGGCAAAATTGGACCGCATCCTACCTTACATTATGATTCTTCTTAATGATCGCTCTGACTCTGTGAGGGTTGCTGCCATACGCTCACTTGCACAACTACTGGAAATGGTCCATGTTGTGTCTCCCGTGAATGCTTATCTATTTTCGGAATATATTTTTCCAAGGCTGCAGCCATTTGTTTCTAGTTCCAATTCAGACCCAAGCCCGCTGGTACGCGCCGCGTATGCATCGTGCATAGCATCGCTAGCGCAATCATCCCTCAGGTTTTTGGATATGATACAGGCGCTACGCACAGATACCCGCCTGCCAGCTTTGATACCGGCGGGCTCTGAACTTAGGTGGACCGAAGACGCCACCTATCACAATCTTTATGATGTGGCAAGGGTCGATCTTCTGGAGTACTTTGAAGCCCACACCAAAGCTCTTTTGACCGACAGCGATGCGTCAGTTCGACGCGCGTTCCTTGGATCTGTCTCCAGCCTCTGCGTCTTTTTCGGCAATCTCAAGACTAATGAGGTTATTTTAAGCCATCTAAATACGTATCTGAATGATCGTGATTGGATACTAAAATGTGCCTTTTTTGAGGCTGTTGTGGGTGTTGCAGCTTACGTTGGGAGCACAAGCTTGGAACAGTACATTTTGCCATTAATGGTACAGTCGATGGCTGATACGGAGGAATTTGTTGTGGAAAGAGTTCTCCGCTCGCTTGCCGCGATGGCCGATCTCGGACTTGTTCAACGATCGACCACCTGGGATCTCCTTCACACCACGGTGCGTTTCTTGATTCATCCTAACGTGTGGATCCGCGAAGCAGCTGTGACATTCGTGGCCAACTCCGCCAAGTTCCTATCAGTGGCCGATAAGTATTCTATTCTTACACCACTTATTCGGCCTTTCCTTAAAGTCAACATTGTAGGGTTTTCAGAGGGCGATATACTTGACGCGCTTAAAAAGCCTATCCCGAGAAATGTATACGAGTTAGCCTTTATATGGGCATCCAAGGTTGAAAAGGGTATATTTTGGAGAACAGCAAATCTAGAGGGAACTTTCAGTCTTGGTGCGAATGAAGGTATCATTCCCAGAAGCCAGAGAAGCTCGAGTTACTCTCTAAGCTCGTACTCGAAGAATGAGGAAGATGAGCAGTGGTTGTCTAGGCTAAAAAATATGGGGATGAGTTCTGACGATGAGCTCAAGTTGGTCGCGCTCAGAGAATACATATGGAGAGTCACTGCGCGTCAGGTAAAAGAGTCTGAAAATGGGACCTCTGACCTGAACAACGTCATTGCTTTGACGCAATATGGAGTAACTCCTCAGACTGTTTTCTTTGACAAGAATCAAAATGTGAAGCCACGCAGAGCTCCATCGGCCAAGGACCTGCCTGGCAAGGCTGGGGAGCGCAGACCACATACTATCACCGATGCTCTACTCGATGCTTCAACTACGATTGATAGTCGACCTAGCTCTCGTAGAAAGCATGCACGTTCAAGAAGTCAACTGCAGAGAGACATAGGGCCTGTCCTGACTACGCCAAAGCAGGATACCTTGGATACCCTTCGAGCAGCAGAAAACTCTCCTGTCCCGTCGCCAGTGGCATCGTCACCAAGCGCCGCGCTAGGATCAGGGCCCTTATCACCTCCTAGCTCAGACACCGAACGAAGACTTACCGAGGGAAGAGAGAGCCCCGGACACGAAAGTTCATCGACGCCGACTGACGCCGAGAACCCAGTGGTGAGAAATCTAGCCACTGGCGTACAAAGGAAGCCCAGTGCGATAAGCCTACTCAATCGTAGGGAGTCCGCAAAAGCTTACGCCGAAACCAGTACGAGCTCTGCAAATGCATTTGGCAAAGTCGATGTTCCATCACATCGGGGAACGCCGCAGCCATCTCCATTGTCCGCTGCCCATGACGTGAAAACTCTTGAGAATGGGCCACAACAGTATCATGCCAGTCACTCATACGGAGGACATAATCCTGTCATTCTTAAGTTACTCGATAATGTGTTTGCGGAAAACTACCCTACGGACTTCTTTGACCTTGGTCCTTATGTCAAGGAGATAGACACCAGGCGAGCAATCAAGAAAGCCAGCGGTTACGAGACAAACAAGATCTGGAAACCAACTGGTGGCCTAGTTGTCATCTTTGGTGAGCATAGTGGACCGGTGAATAGGGTCGTAGTAGCGCCGGATCATGCGTTTTTTGTCACTGCCTCAGATGATGGCACCGTCAAAATCTGGGATACAAGCCGTCTTGAAAAGAATTTGACGCCCAGGTCCCGCCAAACTTACCGCCACTCTACCGAAGCTAAGATCAAATCTTTGGCCTTTGTTGAAAATACACACACTTTCATCAGCGGTGCGACTGATGGGAGTATTCACGCGGTAAGAGTTGACTATAATAACATCAACGAGACTATTCGATACGGCAAACTCCAACTCGTACGCGAGTACCAACTACCAGCAGCCGAA